AAAGGAGTAATTCATTTCAAACTCCACAGTGAACTGTCAATGGAGAGATCTATAGTCAGAAACTGGAATGTTTAAATCAAACCGTTTATCAGAAATGCCCTTCACTCGTCAATCGGAAAGGTGTTCTTCATGACAATGCATGTCCACATGGCACGTATGATGCAACACAAGATTATGGAGTTGGGTTGGGAAGTTCTCTCCCACCCACCATTTTATCCAGATATGACACCATCAGATTACCATCTTTTTCATTTGCTGCAATGCCATCTTAATAGAATAAAGAATGGAAATTTGGAAGGTGTTAAAAAGGACATCAACATGTTTTTTTGCTTCAAAGCTATGACACATGTAATTAAGTGTAGAGTCAAATAGCAGGACATTTACTAGAGAATGAACCAATTGTGAACTTTATTAGTACATCAACATCACTTGATTACAAGACTATCAGTACAATTTCAAACATGCACTCTCTTAAATTACTAGTAAAAACATGTATTGGAGCTGCATGGTACTTTGCCTTCCAGACTCTATAAACCTCTACCTCAGAAGTGGTAATCAAAGTCTAAATTTTGGACAGTGATTTTCTTTTGTTTGAGGGTTGATAAATGGTCAAGCTATTAGAACCTCTGAAGGGGCCACTGTCTTTAAATCCAGTACTGTAGAATAAGCCTTGCTCTGCATGTTTTCATGGACTTTGAGAAGCACTTAAAAGCTAGTTACCTTCTTCTCTGTTGACCAGTTCTAAAGAGAAGCAAGTATTTGGTACCTTTAAAAAATTAAAGGACTTAAACTTCACCAAGTTCACAATTCCACAAACATTGTCTACTTCTTGAAGAGGGTGAAGTTGAGCATACCTGATATAAAAGGTTGCAGAACTTGTGTATAATGCTGATAGGAGTAGATGTGAAGATTTTATGGTTTGTCTTTTCATCTTTTACAGTCATTAGGTAATCCTTCAATAAACACAGGTTCTTTTCAACTCATAGCAGAGCTGGCATGCAAATAAATAAAGTACGCTATCTAGATTTTAACCAGATGAATTCCAACTACAAGGTGAGCATAAGAATAAACATGTATCTCTTTGAATGACCAACTTCAAAATCAAAATATTATAAAGCCAAGTCTTCTGATAATATTGCCACTTACGCAAAAGAAAATGAAGAGAAGATTAAGTATGAACCTGAAGAAATAGTTGAAAAAAGAAACAAAACCAAGAAATAGATGTAGAAGAATTGTACCATGTATTAAAAAACAGCTTGTTAAGTCATATTACATGATTATGCTTCACACAGAATAGATAACAATGATCATTCATTCCGATACAGTACTTACCTCCTCTCACAAGATTAGCTATTCTCATTCAGTGCTGCCTTCTATATGTGAACTTTTTCTTTATACATGCCACAAGCCTTCTGCTCCTCCCTGTTGGAATTGCTATATTCCAACATATCTGTCAGGCAGATCATCATGTGTCATCTCTTAACCAATAGTAGCATGATATGTCCACATGATGCATGTGACTCCCTCTACACTCCTCTACTG